ACAGAGGTGACAATTTTCCCATCCATAAATAGGTCTAGTCTCCGGAAAATTAATCAAGGAACTTAAGTCAGTCTCTAACACGAATGTTATTAATTACTGATCCATAACCCTGTTCACATGGCCAAAATATTCCTGTGCACAAGGACTTCCCCTGACTTTGTCTGCAAGGGAGGTGTCATCCCCATATAAATTAATGGGGAACCTCTTGGGGGGGGAGGCAACTGTATGTACCCCCTACATTGGGGAAAAAGCTTCATACACAAACATATTTGGGAAATGAGAAAAGAAGGAAGAGCTCAAAAGAAATACAATGAGAAAAAATGTTACAAATGATCACAAAACATCAGAAGAGCCCTGATTAGTTCCAAGGTCCATCTAAATTCAGTGGTGAACTTCCATGTTAATTAGTCAGTGAATCTGTTCTAGTATTTAATCTGAATGTCAATGAGCTATCCAAGGTGCTGAATCCCATTCTGATTAATAGCCACTGATCTAAAAAACCAAAGCTATAGTCCAGGATCCTACCATTTCCCAGTGGACAACCAGAGCACAGCCAGAAATACAAAGTGTGAAAGCAATAATTGTTTGCCTCTCATTATTGCTTCCCAACAAGTAGCATTCAGTGGCACGCTGCTCGAAATACAGGGACTCTGTGATAATTGTGACTGACAGCATCTCTACAAAACTGGGGCATGCTGGCTGCAGCTTATGAAAATTGCATTTCAAAATCTCTGGGGGGCAATAAGCTGTCTACATTGATCTTGTCCTATAACTTCTTATAGATTCAGTTTCACTCACAGTAAGCTCTTCTTCACATCATGAACCAACTATCTGAGGTGCTCCAATAGTAAGGAAAGGAAGAGGTAGGAGACAGAAAGATATAAGCAGTCACTCTTCTCAGGCAATAGCTGAACATGAGAGAACAGGGTACCATTTAGCAGCCCAGCATTTGCTTTACAGGCTATAATTGCTGAGCAGAAGGCAAAAAGCCTTCCAAGCAGTAGACTACTCTCACTGGCACCCATCAGTCCACAGAAGTGGAGTGGCATTTTATACACATTCTGGCAATTCACTAGCTGGGCAGGAAGTATCCTTGTTCAAGGAAAGCTCAAACCACAATGGTGGTAAAAAAAGAAGAGAGGACTGGAAAGGAAACTAAACTTCTCAAGGAAGATCGATCTCTCAGTAGAAGAAACAAGTATTATATCTGCTGGGAGACGTAAAAGAATCTTTGAGTTCCAACAGAAATGGAGATTCAGCGTAGGCTCACCCAGTCATATTGGGAAACTGGAATGTGTGGAGAGTAAAAGGAGATGGACAGATTTGGTGAGGGAATCTCAATATGCATCTAGTGCCATCTAGACTGGCTGGATTTAAGAGAAAAAAAACCATTGAAAAAGTGTTTGCTTTACATTTGCATTGTAATAAGCATTTTATTAATAGCTATATTCATTCTAGGTTACAGTAGTTACATTTTTTAAATTTACAGAGTTTGGCAAAAGGATACACATTATTCATAAATACAATAAAAGAATAGTATAACCATGTTTCTTCAAAAAGTATAACATCAAAAGGATAATAAAACAAATAAACATTTCTTCATATTTTGCCCTTTGTATCACATGGCTTTTTTCAGATAGGGAGTTGGGGGAGAAGGGAGTCATACATTTGGTACATATACAGTAGATAGTTTGCACTCAATCTATGGCATGTATTAAACACCAAACCAAAGTAGGAATACACGTGTGATGAGATGCAAATCAAATGAATTACCCCATTCCCTGAAACACTAAAGACTACATCAAAGTTTACCAGCTGCTATCCATTCCATGAGATTTAGTAAATTGGCCAGAAAAATAATTCTCTCTAGACAGGCTTGGGAGGTAGAGCAAATGGCAATGATGTTGGGACACTGAAAGGAGAGGATGAGAGCCTTGATTGGTCTGTAAAAGACCCGTCTGGCAAATAGAAAACATCGCCTTCCTTTCACATTGAACCAGGGAGAGCAAGAAATACAAAAGGCAGAGAAACTCCTCCAGGAACATTACACAGGAAGGTTAAAGGAATGACTTCTGAGTTAACTCCATGGGTTATGTAAAGAAATAATCAAATTTCTTAATTTACCCCTTTATTCAATCAGGATTTCTATATCTGAGTGAGTATTCAGAAACTGCCATGGTATTTGTATGTATTTTGCCATTAGGCTCAAAGAAGGCGTGTCGTTTTCCTATTTCTGAACCACAGTAAAGAGTTTGGGAGTGTCTCTCACAAACGTGAGCTATTCCTTTCCTTTTCAGAGTGCACTCAATACAGCACGCTGAAACTGTAGTTGCACTTGAGTTTTCATGCTGAAGTAACACATATTGTGATAAATGCTCAAAAGAGAGAGAAAAAAGAAAAAAAAGTCAAGAATAAACATAAGTCTGAGAGGCAGTCCTGACCTCTTGATTAATGGTTAAAAGATTAAGAAAGTTTACATGTGGAGATCCTAATTGGCTGAAATCTAGTTTTTAATGTATTTTTCCTAGTATATCTCCACTATCAAAAGAATTTCATAAATTTGAATTTGAGTATTGCTTCTAAAACGACACACGATTTGGCCAAAAACATATAAATACCAATGCAATGAATGAAGAAAGGAGGAACCGAACTACTTTGATTACATTTGTGAATTTACATTTATAAAGGCAAAACACATAGCAATTGCAGTATGATAAAATCAAGATGAAAAGAACTGATGGCACAAATGCAGAAAAAATGTTGGTTTTTCAGAAATGTTTTTAAAACAGACATTCCAACTGTATCATGTGATCAGTATTAATCAATTCAGAACATAGAGCGGTTCACAGTTGAATCTATAACAGACGCAGCATGAGAAGAACGACAATGAACCCATAAACTGAGATATCAACAAAAATCACTTGTTGGTGATCACAAAGCATGATTGGCAGAAGCAATTCACTTAAACGGCTGCTCTTTCCTTGGCTTAGCACTACATCATATTGACCATTATGCTGTAGATTTTCAGCATAACTGTAAATAGATATTTCTTACTAGAATTTGAAAAGCTGTTTCACAAACATAAGTCTCCACTTGATTCCCACAGATAGGCTTCAGGAAGCTTAAAGGAGTGACAAGATTTGATTATAGGAAGAGGGCATTTCTTTCTTCTAAAGGTGCTAAGACACAGAGTCAGAGTTGGAGACACAATACTTTTTCCAAGCTCTGCGTTGCTTATATGACCTAGCACCATGTTCAAGAAGAGTTTCTTACTATACAGGCTGATGTCCTGCCAACATTTCTTTGATCTACCCTCTCTGGAATGACAGAGAGGGTATCTGCTAACAGACTCTACAGAGTGCTTCCTGACATTTGTTTTAAGGTGCTCCATAATAACATCTCTCCAGAACAAGCTGTCGACCAAGAACACTGGCTTGATGCTTACCCTCACTAGATATTCCCAATTCTACTTCAATGGAGTATGGGTTCCACAAAGAAAGGACAGCTCTTTTTGAGTACCTCCATATTTCAAGGTGCTGCTGCTCAAATGGTCTCCACAAACTTACCAAATTTACTCTGAGGTAATGCATAAGAGTTCAAGCTTTAAGACACTCAGTGCACTTCACCTTCATATTGTATGAGCTGCTACAAAAGCTCTCACTCTGGTAAACAGATAAAATCATGTAGGACAAGGACAAGATCTGGCTCCTTCCAGCACCAGTATTTTCCCAGTTCCCATGGAGGATAACTCTGGCCTAAGAGAGCACTGCATTATGGGATTCTCTGCTGTGGCCTAGATTTTCTGAAACTGAATGACGTATGCCAGTGCAGCTCCCATAAGGCTAACAGAATGAACTTGCAGGAAATACAGAGAAAAGAATAAATGGGTCTCAGGTAAGTTGGGTTAACTGCGCCTCAGATAAAAATGTTATTCTAACCAAGGAAACACGATACCTCTCCCATATTTCAGTCTGCAATTTTCTTCCCACCCCACCCACCCCTTAGCTATATTTATGCAAAATCTAATCAACACAAAAGCCCACTTATGTAATGAGTTAGATTCATAACTCGGTGAATGTTTTAAGACTAAGAAACATGACAGCAAAAAAAATCAATAGAGATAACACCTATCAATAAGGCTGGAAAAGTCATTTGAGTATCAAATGCATAAGATATTATTTTGTTTCTAAATACCTTCCATTTATTGCATCAATTTTTTTCCTGATGTTCACAGAAATGGGAGGGAGAGCATTCAGATGAAGAAAACTGCTAGATATTGATGCAAACGTGCTTTCTTCTTAACCAATGTTAAAGGGTCAGGAATGAACAGTGGAGGCTGTTCTCCCTTTTCAAGTTTAAGGAAAGTGGTGGCTACAACCTTAACTACGGTTAATACCAACCACAATTTCTACTGATACCAAAATTCAAAATTTCTAATTGACCATTTTAGAAAGTGGCAGGAGAAAGGTAGTCGCACCTGACTCCGATTCTCTTAAACCATGAGTGAGAGAGATGGTATTATATCTTCACTGCCTCTCAGTCATTAACAAATTCAAAGCCAGTTCCCATCTGCTGAGTATCTCAGGACAACAGAGTTTTTGGAAAATGTATTGACATGGCACCAAGGATAATATGGGAAAATGTCAAGACTTTAAGGAAAACAAACTGATTATCTTTTGTACATGTAATCCATGAATCAAACCCTAACCTAATTTACTCATCATCTCCCTGAGATTTCTGATGATTTTTAGCAAAACAGCTTTTAATTTCAGACTAAATTTTGCAAAGATTTGGGGATTTATTAGGGGATAAAAGTCAGGCATGATTCTGTAAAGAGATTTTGGGCCAGTCTGAGTTAATTTAGAACCCATTAAATTCATTACACTTTTAGAAGTGTGGCTCAGGGGATCTCATTTCTAAACACACCTGTACCATCATCCATTTACAAAAATATATGTTTCAGAACATGCTTGGTGATAATATGTTATATAAAAAAACAGTTTCTGCATTATGGGAAAAACCTTTAAGGTAGCATGCAGTTCCCAACAGATTTCTAAGTGCATATTTGTCTCTCAGTATTAGAATGATTACATATTGATTACAACAAAATAAATCACAGCAGGTACTTAACTTCAAAATAAATTAGGGCAAGTTCAAAGCATTTTATTCAAGGCCAAAAAAACCAGACCTGTTGATATAGTAAAAACGATCTCACTGTTTGAAATCAATTATGTCAAATGTACACTTGGTTTTCAGTTTAGGAAGATATTAAGTTCACATCAAAATGTCCATATCAAAATTATACATGGCAAGATAGAACACCAAAATTCATTTAGAAATCAGTCACATTTGTTTTTACGCAAACTTATTTCCTGCATTTCACACAATTATCCTGAAAATGCATCTCTGAAAAAAGCAGGTAGGGCAGGAAGTACATTTACATGTTTAAAAGTTATTTTGCTGTAATAAATTCAGAGATAACATCAATGAAAGGGAAGGCCAAGCAGCAATATAACTTGTGAAATCCAAGAGAGATGAAATGTCATCATTAAAAACAAAGTAAGCAGAGACTGCAGTAAAATACAGAAATCCAGAGTTATTTTAGATTTGGTTATATACTTTCCAATTTTTGAATGCTTGTTTCTGAAAAAAAAAAAGCATGTCATATCACAAAGTGCAAAAAGCCCTAAAGCTGCCTTAGGGCTCACAGAGGTAGTGAAACTTTTTTTCAAAAAATCTCAGCCAGGTTCTGCAAATTTTAGGCTGGAAGTCTAAACACAATTATCACAAAATTTTACTTAAGTCTCTGGAACTTATTTTAGCACAAACAAGTTTGCTGTGCTAAAAGTCAGAAATAGTGGCCTGGGTTATCTTTTCTTGGCTCAATTCTAAGTAAGTGTTTAGCATCACCAAAATTTCAAACTTTTTTTTTGCCCTTATTGCAGTGAATACAATGTTGCCACTATAAGTATATATTTTGATAAGTTCCACTAATTATTTTTTCCAGTTGAAGGAGAGAAGCACCGGTCTTTTTGAGTCCCATTGCAGACATGAACCTTATCTAACCTCCAACTTTACAGGCATGATTATTCAATAATGAACTACACCTAAATGTACAAATGAGTTTTAACCTGGAAATAATTAACATAACTGAACTAAAGCTTGAGCATTCCCAATCAGCAGGCTTAGGAATATGGCTTAGTTATGGCTCAGAAAAAGGAGAAATATTTATTGAAACATGGTTTAAAATAATACACATGATCCAGAAAAGCCACACAACCAACACTGCATGCAGAAACTTCCAGCATGCATGTGTGCACACGCCATCTCCATATTATTTTCTGTCTCTGGGAGCTGAAGCTTTTTCTATCACAAAAGCAAAGCAAGGACGTTTTTCAACTGTCTTTACAAACAATCTATTTAGCAACTTGACCTCAGTATGATGAAGGCAGGCATGATACTTAAGTTAGTTTCAAAAGTAATTTATCATGCAGCAACTGGCCCTTGCAAGAGCTGCCAAAGAGGCTCTCAGGGTTGGAGCTAATATATTTTGATAATTTATTCATGTCAGGCCAAAATGTAAGTGCTGAAACTCATTTTTTTATTATTTTAGAACAGACTCTGGCATTTAATTGTGCCATGAAAACACAATTTGTTCATACAGAGCACAGACATGTACATTTTCTTTGTTTAGACAGGTGGCAAAGGTCTTTACAACAAGTATAAGACACGATTAATGTACTTCTTTAATTCAAAATTTTGATGTCTCTAAAATTACTGTCATTTAATAGACAGACCCACTGTGTCTTTCTCTCAAACTTCCATGGACTTCAGGGTTAGGATTCACTTTTCTAAGTAACTATTTGTTAAAAACATTTTAAAAATGTGTGGAAAAAAATAAATGCTAGTAAAAGAGATAAAAATACTGACTAATCAAATCTATCCAAATTCACAGACTAGCAAACATCTGCTCAAGATGACTGGAAGAGAAAGAAATATGGCACACAATATATAATTCTGTTTAAGATACACAATCTAGATACTATAATCTTTTTAAGAAAATATTCACATGACATACTAGATGAGTACATAAGGGTTCAATTCCAAATTTATATTGTCACAAATAAACACTTTTGGCATGCAAAAAAGGAGCATAGAGGGGATATATCAACTGCTCCGACATTAAGACACAAAAAGGAAGATTGCAAAATTGTATAGCTTGCCACACTTTGCTGATGGTAAGCTGAGGAGGAGAAGCACTTTTAATGACAACCCAAGTACATCAAATTTCTTTTAAGAAACAAAACAAAATACTGGCCGTCAAAAAGCCTAAGCAAAGAAGGAAATATTCTTATGGAACACAACGGTCAGCTTTTGAAGTATGATGCAGGAAAAAAGAGAAAAACCGAGAGCTGTGTTAAGTCTGCGAATGATTCAAGTTGGATTCTGCAATGTTCCCATTTTCAGGAAAGTTGGCTGGGAGATTGTTATTGATACTTGCTGGAAACTCTAAGGCCGTGTCAGTGTTTTGATAGCTCACATAAGAATTAAAAGACTGCTGTGGAAGTGCTTGGCTATCAGGCACCTGCGCAAACACCCCTGCCTGAGAAGATGGGGAGTTTCTTTGGCCCGCTATTGGGACTTTAAGTTCCCTGGGTTCCAGTTGCTGTTTGCTTTCTTCATCCGTGTCAAGGCGGGTTAGCTTTTCTATCCACATCCGGAACTTTTCCTCTGTCTGCCGCTGCATCTCGGCAAAGCAGTTCATGGCCTCTTCGAGGACACTGCCTATGCAGTTCCTATCCCACACGGTGCCCCTGTCAAGCAATCCTGGAATTTCCCTGGTCGCTCCTCCAGATCCCCCAGCACGACTGAAGCCAGCTTTAAAGACATTGAGGCCATTGCATAAGACATCGTCAAAGAAAAAAATCATCACATCCATACATTCAGAAGGCATGCGGGCAGGAACAAGCTCTGATGCTTGCTCTAACTGCTCAGGTAGCTACAATCTCAGTGATATACTGTGAAACTCACCACATTAAAAGTGCATTAACAACCCACATATCCCAACATAATCAGCAGAATTCCTTGGCTTTCAAAATGATTTTCAGAAAAGGATTTTAACCCCATGACTTTGGCATCTTCAAAACCCAATCAACATGACTTAATCAGAATCTTATTGCAAAATATGAAAGAGATAAAAAATACTTTTATGTACATTTAACCAAACAACATCCATCTTGGTGGATCTCACCAAAGGCTAACTAGGTCAGCAGTCCATTTCCAACACTGTCTGGTCAGATGCTTCTAGAAGCCCATAAATTGAGGTATTACAGGAATGATCCATTGCTAACTGTATTCCTACATGAATTGATGAGAAATCTACCATCTGTGAAAAGGATCATCTTTCATGGTGAAAAGTCCCTGGTTGGCCTCCATTGAAATGAATTTTCTTAAAAGTGAATTAACTACACAATGGAAAAGGCAAATACATAAGGTCTTCAATTACCTTGTTTTGAGAAAAGTTAATTAAAACTTAAAAGATCTGCATATGTGGGTTCAATGATTGAAAATATTTTCATTAAAAAAAAACTTGCACCAAAACCTTAAAAGTTAGGCCCTGTTGCGGGATGCCAACATGCATGAAAAAAATGGTTGAATCCATACTTATTTTAGGCATATTGAAACTGATAGATCTCAAATCAGTCATGATAAACGGGTCCTACTGATTTCAACTTATCTTCTCCAAATATGACTAAGTATAGATAAGGGGCAATACAATTTTCATCCCGTACTCTGAGGGCAATTTTTAAAAAAATGAGATTGTTTGGATAAGCAGCAAGGTGACATGGGCTATGGAAAGTAAATATGCACTCAGAAAATGAAACATTATGAGAAAGACAGATGAATTATGAAGAAGAGCAAGAAACTATACAAATAATGAACTATATATTTTCATTCAAAACACACTTGGTTTGTCCTTCAAACACATACTAAATGAATTATTTTCAGCTTTTTATCTGAATGTCATGTCTAACAGTTGTTAACTGTGATTTCTGGCAAAGACTAGGAGAACAAAATGTCAGGAAATCAGTGAGATGCTTATTCCAAAGTACAGTACTACACACTGAGGAACTGAGTTTCTCAATAGATCCACTAGACTCAACCTGAGTTTCATAGCACCTTTTTTTCCATGGACAGAGTAAGCAAGGATCAATTAATTACTAATCTAGGGGGGGATGGGATCAAAGAGTTAAAGTTCAGCGTGTTGTAAAATTGCAATTAATCCCATCTCCAACTTTGTGCAGAGTGAAAGGAACATACAGTACTGCTTCCCCTTCTCTTTCTCCAGGAAGAGGGAGTAATCATGATGCCTTTCAGGTGGTGGATCCCAGACATCTCTTGGCATCACTAGGAGGAGGAAGTGATCCTTCTCTTTAAAAGTCTGTGGTCCTAGAAAATCCTTGGGACCACTGACTGAAATATTTCACTCTTCCATCTTCCATGATGAGGAAGGAGGAGTGAAGAATGGTTACTGCCATGGGCAATAGGAAGACATGTACTAAACCTATGACTTCAGGGGCCCAGAAGCATCCCCTACTGGCATCCAACCCATGGAAGGCTGGGGCTGGGGAATCCCAGCCTGTTTTCAAGTGAGATGATATAATGACTAGAAAGATCAGAGATAAGCTAAACCTGGAGAGTTCTTCCTTCAGTTTTCACAAATCTAGCATTCCCTAACAACCTTAAGTCTTCTGAATTAATGTCTATGTCTTATGCGGCTCACTTTCTAACAGTTATATCTTCCCCTCAAATAGAAAATTGGGAACTTCTGTGTTGGGATTTCATTTTTCCCAATTTTCCCCTCTTTACAAAACTTGCCTTGACACGTTTAGGGAGAATAAAAGAAAATGAATTATGTGTGATTGCACACATTTGAAGAGAAGGCAAATACAAGTCTCTATGCACTAGGGTGCTCTACATTTAAGAAAAGTTAATAAATGCTCTCAATTATAAATAAAAATAAATGTAGCAAAAATTTGCTTTCTATGTACATGTAAAAATATTTAAAATGAAGACAAACAAGTATAATTTACCTACTTTCACTAAAGTCCTCTGTTAAGAAAAATATATAGCTATACCAGTACAATGGAGATATAATTTGAATGAGCCCTTACCTGAGTTTACAACTTCCAATACTTAATCCTATATTTCCCCCTAATACATAAATGTAAAAAACCTCAAATTCTCCCTGCATTCAAACTCTTCTAAGTAAACCCAAACTATACTAGTAGTTTACTTTCCACACTAAGCAAGACAAAAAGACTGCCCATCAAATTACAAAAGGAATAATATTTTATTTACTGCAGCATCCAATTAATAAAAACACCTATAGCAAAATGTTCTGGAAAAAAGCTCTAATGGGGGGTCATACCATGCTTATCAGCATGAAATTACTCTGATGACATAAACTTGCTTCTCTTCAATTAGAGTATAAATTCACATCATAAGTAAGCATGGAAATGCAATGATTGACTGCCCTGTCTATAACCTACCAAAGACGGCTTGGACGGCAGAAACTGTACCTCATGGAGAGTTATACCAGAAATCTCTTTACTCAACAGGCAGCTCATTAGTAATGGGATTTGGGCTTACTGTTATATGAATCAGAGCTTCCTGAACTGTGCTTGTGGCCAAATTTGGGGTTCCCTTACTGAATGTTAAGGCCACAAAAAAAAATTGTGTCGCTTGTAAGCTAGTGGCTGTTTTACAAATTTTTGCTTGATGGCTATTTTATATACATATATACTTGGGGTCAGGTTAAAAAGTTCTTGGGCAAAAAGAGGTTGTGAGTGGAAAAAAGTTTAAGAAGCCCTGATCTGGTTCCTTTATTGCACACATTCCCTCCTAAGTCACTGCATCTGGTAAAATATTTCTTTACAGTCTTGCCTTGACAGTCTACCACAAAATTTGAGTTCAGGCTTCTACACTGGTTTCTGTGAGAACTAAACCCAGGTAGCCAAACTCTTGCCGTACTGTCAAGGTGTACCATTTCAGACTATGAGTGTAGTACTACCTGTAGTACTACCTCACATGAAATTATCACTCTTAAAATTAGAATGTTAAGAGAAAGAGCCAGAAATGTCTCCCCAACATAGCAGTTGTATGTGTTAAACAATTTGCCTTGGAGAATCACATCAGTTATAGTCTGAAATGGAATTATTTTAGCATAACATGCATTATATGGAGCTTTGCTAGTCTCTTTGCATAAATTTAAGAAGTTTTATAATTACTCCAAAGCAATTTAACTTTTGTTAAAGGATGGAACTCAATAAACTTCACTCTAGAGCTAAAAGACTAAGGAGTGGCTGCCTCCTGCAGAATTCTGGGATTTGTAGTTTAGGGAGGGGCCTTTGAAATGCTCAGCCAGAGAGTTCCTGGATCTCACTAAACTACACGTCCCTGAATTCTGCAGGATGCAGCCCTAGGATTTCAAGTGGAATCCATACTATTTATGTACTCTTTAATCAAGTGTGATGAGGTCCTAAGAGGCAAAAAATGGACAAAAATAATCTGAAGTAATTTGTTTATGGATGTTGTAACCCACCAGGTATGTTTGATAAACAGTCTTCATTTATTTCAACTAGGAGCCAAATGTCCAGAATTTTAATAAAGTTCAAACTGGATGGAAGCAAGACAGCTACAATGCCTGACAGACAACATCCATATTCAAACTGTAAACTAAAGTGCTTTGCAAAATTACATTTATCAATCTTAGCAAGTTACCACTAGCAAAAAAGAACACTTGAAGGGTCAACCCGTGAATTCAGCATTCTTTGTTTTCCTTTTAAGTCTTCACACAAAGAAAAAAAGTTTTCAATTACAAACTAATGTCTTTTTGTGCAAAGCAACAAAAGCTGTTCACCCATAAAAGATCGGCAAACCAAAAGCTTTTTAAATAGTATTTTATTTTAAGGTTGCTATAAAATGCAGTTATTTTGAGTACCATATGCCAAGTTTAGTAGTTGATACATATTCCTGATCATGCTATTTGTTCTAAAGGAATAAGGCAGGCCTTGATAGATTGAAAACTTTCCAAAATGCACAGACATTTTAGTGTAAGAACGGCTAAAGTATTTCACCTCTCAATATGAAAGAAGTTAAAACAGAAATATTAGTAACTGCAATCCACACAACAGAAATGACTAGCTTCTGACACTGTGGGATAGTAATTTGCAACCTATTGCAAAATTTTCCTCATATAGGAACTGAGATAACCAGCTTGCCAATTTGTAACTCACAGCAAGTCTGAACCAGCTTATCATGCGCTAAAGCAGAGCTGGAAAGTGCAGCATTAAATGCAGTACAGAAGAAAACAGGGCCTTCCATAAATGGCAGAAAGATGCCCCGTGATATTTCAGAGGTCCAAAGGAAAAGTGCTTTTTAAAAATGGCAATCCATTTAAAAAACATAACCAAAAAGTAGGCTTAAAACTCTAATATCTAAGCCGCACTACTGTTAATTGACAGGATGGGGGCAAAGAACAGGGAATGGACTCAACTCACAATGACCATATTTTATTTTATTTTATTCTACTGTGCAATTAAGAGCATTGAGAACCCGCATAACCCACCTTAAAAATGCTGCACGTGTTAAAGACTCTGCAGCCCTCCCATTTAAACAGAGCAGCAGCTCTCCTCCTAGTTTATTATTTATTTTTTCTCAAGTGTCGCTCCTCTAAATTTAGCGTGACAGCTGAGAAATGATGGCAGGAGCTTTACCAGTTCAGTTTAAAAAACATCCTCTACCTGGTATCTCTGCAGTGATTGTCTTGCTGCTTCCTGAAACTTCTTCGTCATCATCTGACGAACTCGTGCTTGAGTCACAGGTTAGGTCACTATCGCTGGTACTGCTGTCCTGCAGCAGGTTGTACTTCTTACGGGCAGCCGCCTCTCGTTTCTGCCTTAATAACCGAATTCTCTCTTTGTGCTTTTGGCTCCGATGACCCTTGACCTTAGTGACGCGGCCATTCTGCTTATCACTAGACTGCCGGTTTTTCTTAGCGGCCATGGTTGAGGTTTCGCTTTCTGACCTGGATCGCCGGGATTTCCTCCCAACGGTAGACCCTGACATTGCCGAAGGGTCTCCCTCTACCGTCGCTTCTGCTTGGCTGGGCTCGTTTTCCTCTGCAGAAGACAGAGTATCTGAATCAGCCAAGTGCCCACTGGAGGAGGGAGAGAGCATGCAATGGTTGGAAGAGTCACTCTCATAAACACGGCCTGCAGCTGGCTTGTCGCTCTCTGTCGATGCCAGCTGAGATTCTGATGAGTCCCGCCTCAGCTCCATCAGCAAACATGGCATGGAGGCAAGCACCGCTGAATCTTCCACAGCAGCTCCGCTCTCTTTCTGAGCGCTGATTTCTAGGTCTATAGATCCCTCTTCTCCCAGAACCGCCTCTTGTTTTTCCGGGAGTTTTGGTGGAACCTCTGGGTCGATGAGTTCTTCTGCTTTTTCTACTGCCTCCATCTTCATTTCAGAGTTTTAAGTCTCTCCGGGTCTCAAAAGCATGGAGCACAGGGTCTAGTGGACAGTGCAAGCGACCCTTCGACTTCCGTGGGAGAGCGATCTGCAGGAGGACACAGAGCAAAAGAACAGGTTGATATCCAAGAAATAAAATCACTCTAAGTAATATGAAATAACCCCTTTGGCTGGAAGAAGAGTAGAACCCCCCAGTTTTACTGCTAGTGATACAATTGGGTCTTAGTTCCATCATCCTGATTTTCAGATGAAATGGAATTATACAGAAGAAGCTTATCAGAAGCAGCTTGTTTTGTACTCAGGATCAAACTAAAGCATAAAAACAAAGCAGAACCAACGCTTGATCAGAACAAAGGCCTATTGGGGATAATGCATCATGACCTGTTAGGATCACTGATCATCGAGGTATAAATCATGAACTGTTAGGGTCACAATCTAATAAGGGTAGAAGAGTTTATTTGGTAATTGATGATTGCTGGGCATGTAGGTATTTTGTTTCTGTTTAACGTTTCCAGCAGACAATGATGCAAGCAGACTTATTTGAAAGATAAGTTTTGTTTATTAATAACTTCATGTATTTAAAGATTCAGGCACATTTCTTGTCAAGGGTTAAAAACTTCAGTAACGTCTCCGAGTTTGTATAACCTTATAATCTTTAACAGTTTCTTCATAAACTATGTTGTTTTATACAGCTCTCTTTAATAAGAGTTTACTTTCAAATAAAAGACAAGTCTCAACGGTTTCTAACTTCCTAACATGAGCTTCTGCACTCTGAGAGACTTCTCTACTCAAGCTCATTCAAGGCTAAATACACAATTACTCAACTGACATTCCCTAATTGTCATCCTGTTTAAACCTGAACACTGAGTCAGTCATGTGACCTGCAGCCCCTCCCACTGCTTTAGGTATATAGAGATAAGGAAACTGCAAATAAATAAGACATATACTTCAAGTTTTAAAACGACACATTACAAAACAAACAGACATCATATAGAGGAGGCTTGAGAAAGTTGCTTCTCCCAACAAGGCCCACCTATAAATCAGCATTCTGTTCATACATGACCAACCAGATGCCTGTGAAAAATGCAATAGCAACTGGTTTACAGAGGCATCTTATGGTACTAAATCCCACTGCATAAACTGTTTGGGGAAGGAATTACTCTATCTGAGACCATCACCCACCCTAAGAATAACAGCAAACTCTATATTTTGATTATATTTGGGCCAACATACTACAGAACAGCACTGGAGGCCCACAATCACTTCTGGGAAATTTATTTATTTATTTACAGTATTTCTATACCGCTTTTCTCACCCCTACACACACAGTTATGTGTAAAGCGGTTTACACATAACTGGCAAAACTTCAATGCCATACATTGGACACTGACATGATGCCAATTCATAACAACCACAATAATAAAACGACAATTAATCGTTAATCATAATTAGACAGTACATAAGCAATCATTAAAACAATAAATAATAAAAACATTCTCGCCAGTCGTATTGTCATTCTAGTCCATGTCCTTTAAACTCTACAAACATCTATATAATAACGGAAACTGTGGCTATCAAGGTGGTTGTACTGTATAATTCAGACCCATTTATTTACTTACCATATTTATACCCCACCCTTTTCACCCTGAAGAGGACTCAGAGTGGCCATATTATCATAAACATCAAGGTGGGGAAGCAGCACCAAGAAGGGTACAATTCTGTTTCATGCTCAGAGGTACAAAGCACTAGGAAATAATGGCCACTGACTTCTATTTGGATACAACCCACACCAAGAGATGTCTGGGAGCTGATTTAAATTCCTCTCAAGCAACATTGGTAAGGAGAAAAAACAATGCAAGTAGACACACTTCCTTTTGCTCAATGGATCTGAGAACCCCTACTGCAGCAACACAATCTGAATTAGAACAGAAAATGAATGAGGAGGAGGAGGAGGAGGAGGGGAGATCATAAGCATAATGACTCAAAATTTTCCCGCTAGCCTCAAATATAATTTTGTATCAGAATAACTTATCCAAGACTCACTTCTAATAATGTATTTAACTGTGAGAATAGTTGTCCACATTCACAATGGTAGTGGAATGTTGAGGGTCAGAGTAACCTTGCATTAATGTGCCAAACAGATTAGGGAAAGTTAGTTTCACAAATTTAGATCACACGAGACTGCATCTTAGTTTCCATATGCTATCAGAAGATTACACTGTTCTACATCTCCACCAGGACTTTCTTCACCTACAATAATATTTCCCTTTATCTGTTCTCTTTTTTAAGCTAAAGCATTTATCTATAAAGGACAATTCAACCTTGCAGACATATGTGTGGTGTTTCCACTTAATAAAATGGGGTGCAACCCTTTGCATTTTTTGCCATCTTCAGGGGTCTGAATTCCTGTGGATCCAGATGGCACACTGTATACAAAACTGCATAGTACTGATAAAGTAAATAAGGAATCATTTATTTTCCCTCTCAAAAGCCTGTATCATCCACTACAGTTAAACTGTGGGAAATTGAGGACAGAATAAATAAACTATTTCTTTGCATAACACAAACTTAAACTATGTAATTTCTATCAAGTGGTGATAGCTGCCAAATTCAAGAGCTTTTAAAACGGGATTAAACAAATTCATGGAAGTTATTGCTATCAATTAATCACAGAGTTGGAAGAAACTGCAAGGACCATCTAGTTCAACCCTCTGCCTCCTTGTCATGGTGGCTATATATTTTATTTTGAATTTGAGGCTACATGCTTCTTAACATTAGCTACTGTACATATACTTGTTTGTACAGTACCAAGGTGCTTGTTTATAAAGCTATTGTCCTCCCAACCCTGCTATATGCCTGTGAGACGTGGACTGTCTACAGACGTCACATGCAACTCCTGGAACGTTTCCATCAGCGCTGCCTCCGGAAAATCCTGCAAATCTCCTGGGAAGACAAGCGGACAAACGTCACTGTGCTGGAAGAAGCAAAGACCACCAGCATTGAAGCGATGGTCCTCCAACATCAACTCCGCTGGGCCGGCCACGTTGTCCGGATGCCTGACCACCGTCTCCCAAAGCAGTTGCTCTACTCTGAACTTAAGAACGGAAAACGGAACGTTGGTGGACAGGAAAAGAGATTTAAAGATGGGCTCAAAACCAACCTTAAAAACTCTGGCATAGACACTGAGAACTGGGAAGCGCTGGCCCTTGAGCGCTCCAGCTGGAGGACAGCTGTGACTAGCAGTGCTGCAGAATTTGAGGAGGCACGAGTGGAGGGTGAAAGAGAGAAACGTGCCAGGAGGAAGGCGCGTCAAGCCAACCCCGACCGGGACCGCCTTCCACCTGGAAACCAATGCCCTCACTGCGGAAGAAGATGCAGGTCAAGAATAGGGCTCCACAGCCACATACGGACCCACAAGGAAATCCATAATGGAAGACCATCTTACTCGTCCAACGAGGGATCGCCTAAGTAAGTAAGTAAATACATATACTCATATACTTAAGTATAAGCCGACCTGAATATAAGCCGAGGCACCTAATTTTACCACAAAAAACTGGGGAACCATATTGACTCGAGTATAAACCAAAGGTGGGAAATGCTGGTAAATTTCAAAATAAAAATAGATACCAATAAAATCACATTAATTGAGGCATCGGTAGATTAAATGTTTTAGCTTAATATGTAATATGATGTTTTTAATTACTGTTTGTGATATTACTGTTGGAAACTGGCCCGAGTCCCTCGACAGAGGTGAGAAGACCGGTATACAAAACTGCTAAATAAATAAATAAATAATATTTACATAAACCTGTAATGTAAGATAAGGCTGTCCAACTCTGATTAAACCGTTTTCTAACCTTCTTCAGTGTAATTGTGCTTACATGTCCTTCCAATAATAATGAGAGTAAAGTAATAAATGTAATAAAAATAATAAAAGAGTAAAATAATGAAAATGTAATATGAACAGTAATAATGGAGTAAAATAATAAATGTAATAATAACAATAATACATAGGGAAAAATAATAAATGTAATAATAATAAATAGAGTAAAATAATAAAAATAGTGAAAACCTGGCTCTTTGAGCAAGCATTCAGAACTTCAGCATGACCAACTCAAGTTGGAATATGAACTAGGAACGGCTAAGACGATGGAACGGTTGAGGATTTGAACAAGACATAGTTTTCATAATTTTTACTGTTATTGCTCTAACCGTTTTTAAATGTATCCTAATGTGATTCTTTTGCTTTCAACCGATGTATGTATTTTTATATGACATCTAATTGTGCCGATTTGTACGCCACCCAGAGTCGCCTTCGGGCTGATATGGGCGGGATAAAGGTGATATAAATAAAATAAATAAATAATAAATAATAAAAGAGTAAAATAATGTAAATGTAACCATAATAATAAATAGAGTAAAATAATAAATGTAATAATAATAATAACAGAGTAAAATAATAAATAACTTTGACTTAAGTATAAGCTAAGAGGGGCTTTTTCAGCCTAAAAAATGGCTCAAAAACTTGGCTTATACTCGAATATATACAGTTATCATATTTGTGGGCTTCCCATAAACAACTACTTGGTCATAATGCAAACTAAATGATGAACTTCAGAATCTTCAATCTGATCCATTTTGGCTTTTATTATGGTCTTAGAAAGTCATGAGGACTACTAAGGCTTCTCCATAAACAAGGAGTGGCATATTACTAGTTAAATAGATAGGAGGGCTAACAAAATACTGGCTTGAAGTACTTTGTCAACATTATTGCAATTCTTCCTTAAAGTCTCTTCTTTCCAATGACCAAGCCTGACCCAGATAAACTGGTGAGATCTGCCAGAGGAATTGGTGTAAGATGATACAACTGAGGGCAAGAAAGCATTTATTTCTGTCCCTACAAAGTTTCAGCTACAGTTTCATTCCCCACTCCCAAACTTCAAACTCTGATTGGTTGTGTCATTTATGTAGGAACTGATTAACATAGCATTCAATCTCTTCAGACAGCTAAATAAATCAAAATAAAGGTGGCAGACTGCTTTTTCTACACAAGGCTTTAGTTTTTAACTACCAATCATTTCATGCAGCAGAGTAAACATTAACATGTCTCCATCATACAGAAAAGATTTAACTAAAAGTAATGGTCAAACAGGAGAATACTAATCACAGAAATACATATCCAGGAGCCCCGACTGAACTTTCTGCCTCCCCTTTCACCCAAATCACAAAGGAAGTTGTTCTTCCTCTGAAATTGCTGTCCTTTTCCCCTCCTGGTCTAAGTTCCAAATCTGTTGCTAAGACTGTAAACAATCTGGTCAGCTGGAAGTAGGCTGAAAGAATGCAAGAGAAGCAATGTTTTGAAGAAATGAGGAAAAAGGGATTGTGAAGTGCTATTTGGAGTTACTGGGGTTGATGGGAGGAGAGAAAGAGACTGTGTTCATGTGGCTGAAACATGGACTGGAGGTATTATATTAATTGCAATGAAAAGAAACTATATAGTGTACTGTACAGTATAATATTGACATCATAAGCTACAGTCAGTAACATTATATTTCTTATCAACAAAAGGACTAACAAGACTTCACTTCGTTCATCCGGAGAGGCCCTGCTCGTGATTCCGCCTGCGTCACAAGCACCTTTGGTGGGGACGCAAGACAGGGCCTTTTCTGTGGTGGCCCCCCAACTCTGGAACACCCTCCCCAAAGATCTTAGACAGTTGGAAGTCTTTAGAAAGAACTTGAAGACCTGGCTGTTCCGATGTGCCTTTCCAGAATAGGAAAACTCCAATAACAAGTCCCAGAAGCACTTTATTAGAATTAAGATTGCTGGCACACTGCACTTACCTATAATCCTTACATATCACCTGTCACATCAGCACTTTTAATCTGTACCCTTTACTCTGGCCCGGCCCAGTTTTATTGTGTCTTGGTGTATTGTTTATTGCTCGTTGTTTAATTTTGCTTTAATTGTTTTTAATTTGCTTTAGGTTGTGTACTGTTATGTTGTGTTTTGAGGCCTTGGCCTTTGTAAGCCGCATCGAGTCCTTCGGGAGATGCTAGCGGGGTACAAATAAAGATAATAATAATAATAATAATAATAATAATAATAATAATAATAATAATATCAATCATATCAATACTTGTACCTGGACAGAGTTACCAGTGACTGTGAGCTGGAATTTACTGTATATATTTGAGTATAAGCTGACTTGAATATAAGATGAGGCACCTAATTTTACCACCAAAAACTGGAAAAACTTATTGACTCGACTGTAAGCCTAGGATGGGAAATGCAGCAGGTACTGGTAAATTTTAAAATAAAAGTAGATACCAATAAAATTGCATTAATTGGGGCATCATCAGTAGGTTAAATGTTTTGAATATTTCCCAGTAAACACTCTGTAAGTGGAAAAGTAGGGTCAACAAAAACAATATGGTATCAACAAACTTCATTTATATCCCATCCTCATGGATGGACTCAGGCTGAGGCAAACACTCAATGCCTATATAGCCAATGCAGAGCTAGATAATAGATCTATAATTATATTTACTATTTCACATATGCATTTTCCCCCTGAAGCATTTGCAAACTCTCTCTATATATGAGCATTTCCCTCCTGAAATGTTTGTTAGCCCTATATATCTATTTTTATATCTATCTACACACATCTGTGTGTGTGTGTTTATTTCCTTTGCAATATTCGCAAGCACTACATATCTATAGTCATATCTATCTAGACATGTCTATATATGTGTGTGTATGCATTTCCCTCTGTAATATTTACAAGCCCTATATATCTATATTCATATATATCTATATATCTAGACACCTCTATATATATACATATTTATATCTATATAGGATTTACAAATACTTGTAAACACGTGAGGGGAAAATTCATATATAAAAATAATGTATACATATAAATACAGATATACAGGTACATGGAAATCTCTAGAGATCTTTTTGTATATAGGATTTGCAAAGACCTGCGTACAAATGAGGGAAAAGTTTGGTTGCCCTTCTCTGGACAGGTTCTAGCTTGTTGTCAATATCCCTTATTGAATTGTGGTGCCCAGAACTGGACACAATATTCGAGATGAGGTCTGACCTTTGCTGTCCCAAACTCCATGCCTTATCCAGGAATATATTAATTCTAACCAGACTGGCCAACTTACCTGTATTTTATGAAAAGATAAAGAAATCTGGCACAGAGGCCACTATTGATATTGCTATAGCATCTTAATGTTGATCTATTCACTGAAGCCCAAGGCAGTTGTTTTCTAAAATGATTGTCAAATTCAAGCTGAGCTTTAAAGAATATATATTTTAGAAATTGTTTTTATAAGTTGGCCGCATTCTTGTGTAGGTTTGTAGTACAACTTGATGAATAAACCTGAGGAAAAGTTTTGGTACATGATAGAGCTACCTAGCATAACACACAAATGATGAACTCTTACATTAATAAAAAACAATTCACAAAAGCAAAACATACAAATTACAACAAGCATATTCCATCTCATTTTCTCTTACGATGTATTTATACATAGCTCCCATTTTGAGAAGTGATTGACACTGTGTCCGTGAGTCATGCCCCAATACTCAAACATCTTTACTATTTAATAAGCATGGTCTGTGTCAAACTGCATTTTTTTTAGCATGGTATGTTTTTCTTGTATGTTTTCCATCTAATCCACTCTACCATTTCTGTTTTCAAACTTCATCTCAACCACAGGTAGATTGCTTTAAGTAAAAAAGTACTGGCAGGTCTAGTTTTGAAATGAGCAGTCTGAGGGATGGAGAAAAAACCATTTGGCAGAGACCAATTTTAAATCCCACACTGTCTGAACTTCTAAGTCTTTCTCAATTCCCCAGTTCATCCTCAACTTATATATCTTACTCACAATTTCTCCACCATATTTTTTTTTTTAAAAGGACATCAACAAAACCGATTTGTTTTACTAAGCTGTGAAAAAGGATTGCTGCATGGAACAAGTAAACTTTGGAAGTGAACTTTTGAGGTATGAGTCTTTTCAATCTTTGTTCTGAAAACAGATGCTTGTCCACTGTGCTGGGGAGGAAAGTAGGAGGGGAAAACAATATTTAATTATCAGAAAAATAGTTGGAGAGACTCAGGCTATGAAGGGAAATATCAACTGCCTTTCACCTTAATTTTGTGAGAGGAGGCTTCTATACTGTCACTTTCTGGGTGGAAAGATGCTCTGCACATGTTAAGAGGCATTTTAGTTGCATCTTTCTTGGCGTAATTTGTTGGTCCCTACAAAAAAGAAACTTAGTTCTAATGTGAACAACTTTCACTTATAGGGTTAGCAAATACATTTTGATCACCATGCGCATATCACTAAAAGAGAGCTGCTTTTAGATAAGGAGAAAAATATGTGAACTCACCCTTCAACTACTGTTGTCACTGCTGTACCTGTTCCACGGACAGAAGATCTGAGCGTCCAAAGTTGTCATTCTGGCTGTGTTTCCTCAGCAAGTTCACTAAAGAAAATGCACATAAAGAATTCAGATGTAAAGAAAAAGAGACACCACCATACTTTGAGTCAGCAAATCAAGTGTCACACATCCTATATTTTTTTCTGCCTACATTCACAACCTTTCTCCCTGCTGATACTCATTTTGTTTGTTCTGGCCCAGCTCTCCAATCTGTTAAGGTGATTTTGAATTCTGGTCCTATTATTTAAGTATTAGCTAACTCCTGAATTGGCTTAATCTAGATTTGATAAGGATCCCCTCAATTCCATAATCAAAGTTAATGATAAAGATGTTGAAAGCACTGAGCAAGAATTTTGAAGGCTTTACTGAAATCAAGATAAGCTACAGCCACAACATTAGCTTCATCTATAACAGTGGCTCTCAATCTGATCTGTGGGATATTTACAGATCTCATATACCTATTGTCTTCTACAGAGATTGCTAATAATACCAGTTATATTATTTCACTAGTATCCTCTAATCCAGTGGTTCTTAACATCTGGGTTCCCAGTTGTTTTGATCTACAACTCCCAGAAATCCCAGCCAGTTTACCAGCTGGGAGTTGAAGGCCAAAACATCTGGAAGCCCACAGGTTGAGAACCACTGGTCTGTAGTGTTCCCTATAAAAAGCTCATGAGTACTATCCAACCCCCGATGACATTGTACCCTACAACTAAATGTTTAAAAAATGCCACGAGATTCAAACATACATACATTCAAAAGAAGAACTAACATTTCTGAAAATGTTTCCATATACAGCACTTAAAATGCTAATAAACCATCTATTACGGCACATATTTGTGCTTTCAAGCATCAGAGGTATGGGAGGATGACCATATTATTTGCAGTTCTTTGCAGAAGTGCATCCCTTTGGCTTGTCCATGTTTTGCTGTGTTAAAACCTGGAAGTGAAATGGATTTAACTTACATAATTACCATCTGAAGTATACAAGATACTTCAAAGCTGCGAAGATAGAAAGTATTTTTTACAATAGCACAAAAGTTAAATAAACAAAATCAATTTTGGCATAAACTTTGTCTCTTTATTCTCTGTACTTCAGTAGAACAAAGCTGTAGGGTGTGGCCTGTAAGAAGTTTTTTTTGTGCACCGTTGGAAATATGTTGATGTTGAGGATTTTTTCTGCATCACAGGTTTTTTAAGTGGCATAGTTCCTTAATGAAGCTTAAACTTGAAACATTAATAGACAAGTGTGACATCTCAGTCCAGGGCTGGGAATCATGTGATCCACCAGATGCTTTTGAACTGTAAGTCTCATCAGCCAAAGCCAGTATAGGAAATAGCAAGAATGCTAGGAAATATAGTACATTATCTTCATTGATGCATGCTCCCCAGACCAGTCCTAAACTTGTTCAGCATGTAGTGACATATCAAAAGAAATCTTTAGATTTTCATTGCTTTCTTTATTATGGAACGCTAGTATTCCAGAACTGGAATTTAAGAACTTTATGTCATATGGTTGAAATGCTATCTGTAAGGTAAGCCCTATGTAATGTAACAGCATTTTGGATTTGCATTCTATAGTACAGACATTGTGTGACAACTGGGCAAGAGAGGAATTAGTCACTCCTAAACTCTAGCAGCTTCAAGTTACTGCCTCAGCAAGAATGCACTGACGTACTGAAGAGATAACATTGGAGGAAACACAATACTTCCTCATGTATATGCATCCATTAAAACAGGGTTGTAAATAGGTACTTACCAGGTCACTCAAGGTGAGTGAGGGCACATTTTGAAACAATGACAATTATGATAGCTTCAATTTCATGTGCATCTGTCACTACTCACTGTAACGAAGCTGAAACCTTGGCATACACAAAAACTTATGTTCCCACAGTTCTTTGACATCAAAAAGTGAGTAAGAAATGATGCCAAAATAACTGCAAGTGCCTAACCTCAGGTTATATTTTATGCTCTTGCAGTTCTCATTTGATTACGAGTACATATGCATGATGTTACCAGTTGATTGCAGCCCGCATGATAATGTTTGTGCTATCGCCAATATCCAAACTAGACCCATCTCCAGACAGCTTTGCAAGAAAGCTTTTGTAAACTGGAAAATTCAGGGAGATCCAATACTGCACATCTAAAAGAACAGCAGAATTGGGAGGGGATGACATTCTCCCCACTACTTCTGCACATTAGCTTCCCCTACCCTGGAAATTGATAATATTATAATGTAATACAATATAATAACAATAACAATAATAATAATTCAATATTATAATTATATATTTTATATTACATGTAATATTACTAATAATATTACAGTATAATGGTATAGAACAATATAGTAATATATAATACTAATTTTGTGCTATGGTAATAATATATTGTATTTACATATTACTTGTAAGCTGCTCTGAGTCCCCTTTGGGGTGAGAAGGGCGGCATATAAATGTCGCAAATAAATAAATAAAAGCCAAGAAATCCCCCAGAAACAGTTTTTGGATGACATGGAGAGCTGCAGGAAAGAAGGAAAGAGACAGTTTCCATCCAGTGAGAGTTAGTATCTGGATCATAGATCTAGGCCTTGGGTCTCTTTCTGAGAAGCCATTTAATGCACTAGTAACATTCAAAGAGCCAACTGCAAGGCTGCATTAAGGATGCATGATTTCGCACTTAACCCTAAAAGAGATGCAGATTTTATCATGAAGCCCCAGAATATGACTAGTACAGGCTGCTCTTTAAAAATAAGCCATCCACAGACTTCTTAACTAGAAAAAGTCAATGATGGAATTATTATTCTTTGAAATCACCCATAGCAATTTCACTTGAAGCCTAAAACAAGATGTTTTTAGTATTTCTAGATGTGCTAAAAGGAGTATTGATTTAAGTAGAAGATAGAACCAGAGCGATGCAAACAGAGTTGTCTGCACACCCTGTTGGAGTAATAAATCGTACACACTTTTAATCATTTGCTTTCAAGTCGACTTTTGACTTCTATGATATGAAAGACCAATAACATCTTATACACTGAAGCCCATGAGATCCCACATCCCATGAAATTGAACTATGAGATAGCGAACACTGTCCGTCAATGAGGAGAAATTGGTTTGTATTGGTTTTATGGTTATAATGTAAGAATTGTTGTTTAATTGTTAATTGATGTTATGGTTTTTATTGCTGTTATGTGGTGCGGGCATCGAATTGTGCCTTGCTTTTGTAAGCTGCCCTGAGTCCCCTTCAGGGTGAGAAGGGCAGGGTAGAAGCAACCGAAATAAATAATAAATAAATGAAAGAGGGAAAGAATGACTAAGTGGGTAAAGTTCTACAGTCTCCATTCCATGGAATATTACAATTTGTCTTCTTGTCAACAAATACTTTACCATAATAACAAGCTGTGCCAAATACTGTCAATGTTAAAATTATTAACACTATTTAAAATATTTTAAAACCCTTGTTAATTTCATCAAACAGCTCTGAACTCAAGTGTGGTATCGCTCTTTAAAATGATGTGCTTTTCTGAGCAGAGATGGAAGAAAATAAACTCAGAAGAAAATAAACTAGAGGAGGGTTAGTTCTGTAAATACCACTCACTGTCTGCTAAAAAGACAAAATGGGTCCAAGAGCAAATCATGCCGGAACCATTGCTAAAAGATGAGATGATGCTAAACTAAGACTACCATACTTTGTGCATATCATTGAAAAGGATTATTCATTTTTTAAAAAGCAATAATGACTAGGAAAAGAGAAAGATCACATTACAGGTTGATTGACTCAATCAATGAAACCATGATCTTGAGTTTGCAAGACTTAAGTTTGATAACAGTGTGACTTGAGAGGTCTCTCATTCATGTTGCTGCTGCTGCTGCTGCTGCTATTGTTGTTGCTGCTGCTGTTGTTGTGTACCTTCATTACGTTTCCACCTTATGATGACTCTAAAGTAAACTTATTATTGTTTTTCTTAAGGAAATTTATTCCAAGTGTCATTGCGTTTTTCTGAGGGTAAGAAAATGTGACTCCCCAAGGTCACCCAGTGAATTTCCATGTACAAATAGGGAGCTAATGAGTCATAGTATAGTGCTCAAACCACTACACCACACTGACTCTCCTCTTACTCACAGGGTCACCATAAGTGAAAGCTGATTTGAGAGCAATTACCAACAACATGCTCCCCCCATGAATTCATTCATGCTGAGGTCTCAGGTTATAATTCAGAATTTAATAGTTCATGAGAAGCTATTTACTACAGATATCTCTTTATTTACAAGTATTTGCTTGATGCTTGATGCTTGTAACTGTTTGGGTCAAAGTGCATGAGGCATTTGCCATACACTTCTGTCATTGATCAAAAAATAGCATGTGGGTTTGGAAGAATGCCAGATCAGGAGCATGCCTTGTAGGTGGGGTGTCAGCTCTTGCCTCTGCTGATGTGTGAATTCAAATTGCTATTTGCAATGAAAGCAAATTCATCAAGGCATACCTTCCCCTGTTTTAGTTCAGCCTCAAAAGAAAAGAAAAGACACTAGAAAATGAAATTAAATTTCTATGAAAACAAAGAAAAGGAGAGTTAGGCATTATCACTGCTCACAAATGAAAAGCTTTTTCTTATGTATCTTCAAATATTTTCCATCTTATGAAAAGCTTATCCTAGGGTTTTCTTGGCAAGATCTGTTCAGAGGTGGTTAATTTTTGTCTTCCCTTGAAGCTGAGAAAATGTGACTTGCCCATGGTCACTCTATGATGCTTTTAGAACTCTAAGAGACTTTTGAAAAACTCTATTCACACATACAGAAGCTAGATTAAAGGTGCTCTATCACATCTGATTTCCCATTATACTCAAGGCTTTGGGAAATGACTTTGGCATCTCACCAGACAATTAACGAATTAGCCCCAGCTACCCTAGAGACTCTGGGCTCTACCATGTCCCACTAGGATGATGAATGAAACAAGAGATGAAAGGATGAAATAAGAGCTTTGCATAAACAAATGAGGGATAAGAAAATAAATTATTTCTATTTACGGTAGCGCTCAGCACACAATAT